TATGCTTTATTTATATCTGTACACTATTGCAACCACTGCTGCACTCTTACTCCTCAGAGCTTTTCTTCACTGCATAAATAGCCAAAAATAAGTCCAAATTCCACTTCAGTGGCTGCTTTTTCTTGTGTGAATTTTAATGCCTTATATATAGGTTACTATATTCCTATGTACTTTCACCATGTCAAGGCAAATACGCATTTACGTTGTCTTTTCCAGAGGCTGTTCAATTTTGCATTGTTTGCTATTATTTAAAATACACTGTAAAATTATTCCACCCCTATTTTACAGGGATGATGAAAGATCAAATAAAATTGTAGAAATTAATAAGCAATGAAATGACTGCACTTTACAGATTAGTGTGGTTGTTTGCCAGAGATATTTTTCTTTTTGGAAGATGTTATTGAGTAAGTTAAGACTTACTTCTATTAGATTTCATTCAAGATTTAACATCTGCATAATCTAACAGCCTAGATAAACCACATTGTTTAGAATATACTGTACAGTTAATGTCTGAATTTCTCCCCTCTTTCGCTGCAGCTTTTCTTCTTGAATTTGTAATATTTTGATTTTCTGCGTCTTAATTCCTCTCCTGGTGGCCTGCGGGGGGGGGGGGGGGGGGGGGGGGAAGACAAAAAAAAACAACCAAAAACCAACAAACCTTTGGAATTTTAAGTTGATTCTTAAAACTAGTATCTTGGGTTACTGTGACAGTTGGCTAGCTGTTAATCAGAACTTTCTAACCTCTTGTTTTGTCTGCTAGCTAATACATTGCTATGCACATGCTCACTCATAAAAATCAGTAAAAAAGATTGGAAAGTTCATTGCTACTCTGGTTCCTTGTGTTTGTTATGAATAACAATGTTCAGACAAATCTTAGAATAATTGCAAATTTGAGATGCATTCTTACCTCAACTAGAGAAGGTGCTTCAGGGAATTGTAGGGCAACATCTGACAAAAATCAAGGAAAGTTAAAAACTTATTTTACTGACAGTCTGAAACTTTAGTTTGGTCCACAGTGGACTCTTTTAGAGTTTTCTTTCAGAAAGATTCATTGAAGCATTCTATATGTCTCTCTCATCAAAATTGCTGATGTAAGGAGCTATACCTTAGATGTTGCCATGTTCACAGACTTATGAAAGTCTGTAGATCACATAAGCTAGAATCTTCTGTTCTTGTTCAAAGTTTAGATAGGCTGAAAGGCAATACTGGTGAGGTATCTTGAAGAGGAGTCGACTGCGGAATATTGAATACACAAAATCACATCTGTCTCAGGAAGTAACCTGAATTAAAAATAGTTGGAGTGTGGTTGGCAGCAGGAGGGAGTATTGTGTATGCTTGTCCTATTCCTATTCTTTGCTATGTATCTGTTCATGACAGCCACTGCTGGAAACAAGATGCTGACCTGGATCAATCTTTGGCCTGATCTGGTATGAATGAAAAGAGGAGGATGTCTCACCCCAGGTGTTTCTGCTTTCTCTCAGAGATCAGTCATTTCATAAGGCTAGGAAGAAAAACCAAGCATAAAGATTTGAACTGCTGATACTGAAGTAACCACCCCTGCTTATGCCTTTCATTAGTTCCCAGCAATCTACCAAACAGGACAAACTTGTTTGTAAGGCTTCCTGTGGTTCATTGATAAGGTGTATCTTTGTGGCTGGCACTGTTAACTCTTAGGTTGCGGCCCATCACAATTCTGCATTTAATCACTTTAAAGGAACTAATTCTTATTTATTTTTTTTTTTTTACTTCTTTTTCCTGGGTCCCAAAGTCCTAGGGATTACTTAGTCTTCAACCTTAATAGTTTTACTAAGAAAAAATTCTGGGTTTGTTATTGCATTCTGGTTTGGTAGACAAAACCATTCATATCTGTAGCCTCAGGTTGTGCTGTGTTGGTTGGGATCACCAGTGACATTTCCTTTCAACAGCAGCAAGCAGCACTGATACCATGAAACAGAATTTAAGCTCATCATAGCTGCTCCAAAGTCAACCTAGTATCTACCAGATGATCTTCCCTGAAGCCTGAAGAACAGTTACACTTTGTCTTTCACGGGTGACTTCCTTTTGATTAATCTGGATTTGTCTTGTCCTGTTTAAGGTTCTTGGAGAAGACAAGGGTATTACTCCTTATGCAGTCTTGTGTCCTGCAGGTTGATAAAGAGGAGCGTAGGTCTTATATTGTCAAGGCAGTAATCACTTTCTTCCTCAGAAATGGAGAATAGCTTTTGGTCAATAATAGGTTTGGATTTGGGGTTTTTGTTGCTTTGTTTTTTGTTTGTTTTTTTTTTTTTCCTGTTTTCAGTTACTAGCTGAATTTTTTGCTACTGCTTGGAAGATCCTTAGGTTAGAGCAATTATCTAATCCTGATTTCCTTCCATCACGACCCTGCAAAGTCTTCTATACAGTTAACTCTTCCCTTGGGGATAGTCACAGCTTGATCAAATTTAGTGCATATTCTCATTTATTTCATGAGGGTTGTGTGAAATAACTTACATGTGCCACCTTCCTGGGACATGCCCACAGCTGAAGCATGTTGGCAAAGATCCCATGTACTGTTAGGCTGGGTAATGAGAGGAGTTGGTTGCCTCTGGAAGTTCTCTGATATGGAAATGTGACAGTCAACCTCCTATCCTAAGGGGAAGAGTTTGGTGTTGAAATCCTGGTTCTGAATCTCAGATGTTGCTGAAATACAACTGCTTATTTAGAAACAATGGCAGGATATCAAGTTTTGAATGCGTTTGATCTTGTGAAAAATGGCATAAACTCTTTTAACCTCAATGTTCTTTTTCATTCTAAAAATGGTGTCTCCTTTTGCACTATGTTGATACAGTGGTTGTTGATTCAGAAGGAAGGCTACTTATTAAACCAGCAGTGGTATTTGCTGTCTCGTGTTCAGTGCAGCTAGACCAGAGCATCTTGATCCTGTGTGACACCAGCACAGATTACAGTATGAGATTGGAAGATTACAGACTACATCTCTTTAACATGAAGCTATTGTGATTGCAGCTCTGCTGTGAAACTGCCAACCTTTTGCATGAAGGACACAAATAAATAAGGGAAAGTAGGGAAAAAAACCTTCTTATTCCAGACTTTTCTTTTTTTTTCTGATTGTGGTGAATTCTATGTAAGTATGTAAGGCTTAAAAGCACTAGCAAGGCTTCATGGTGTATCTTCAAAATGCATCGAAACTATGTTTAGTCTCAGGAGATGTGCACTAAGGCACGGACTTGTGACCAAAGATACGCTTGCAGCTGGGATGAAGTTAGGCATTTATTTTCATCTCTGGAATATTGTATGGAAACTAGCTGTGTTTCTGCTCTGTATATGTATATACATTAGTGTGTATACATATATATTTTAAATCTTGCCTTTTTCTATACAATTGCAGTACGGTCTGTTTAACAAGTACCTGAGTTATTAATGCTAGACCAGGTAATTGAAGGTTGGTGCGCCAACTAGAAATTCAAATTGCTTGTCTTTTTTGTATGCTGACTAGACAACAATTTCTGTATTTTTTTTATGCTTAAAAGGTTAAAAAAGAGAGAAATGTTTCAGTTAAACATGGATATACTAAAATTATTTTTAGGTAGTCTCTAGATCACTGATTTGCAACTGTTACACACAGCATAAGAAGTTATGTCTTAAACTCCATTCCAGTAATGAACTGTGCGTGAGCAATCCATATATGTATTTTAAGACAGTGATATATCAAGGTCCGTATGGACCTGTTAGTCTCCATGTGTGGAACTCCCTGCAAGATGAGTTTTAAATTGTGAGCACCTTCCCTGCTTACTAGAACTTTTGTCCAGAACTAGGCATAACACTTAGGAAGAAACATGTATGAAAAATTTATAACACATGCTTTCTACTCACATTTCCCTGTGGTATTTAGAACCTGGTTTTGGAAGAAATCCCCTGTTGTCCTCTTTGTAAAAGTGTGCGTCACTGGCATTATGTTGGATTTTATAAAAATAAATCTTTAAAAATAGGAATGGTGCCTTTTAAGATCAAAGGGTAAGCACCTTTATCAAACAAGATTAGTGGTTCTATAGAAATGTTTGGGAGGGATTTATTCTGTATGTGTATAATCCTTTAATGATAACATGCATTACAAATTCATCGGAAAAAATGAACTACTCGTTTCATTTCGAAGGCAGCTATTTCTCCAGAATCCTCATAAGCCACCAGAACCTGGGTTGATCTATAGACTGTACATTTTCTATTGAAAACTGATAAATAGTGAGTCAAGTTATTAGATTAGGAAGTGTATCAAAGATTAGGGTTTTCAGTAACGTTTATGAGTTCACAAACTCTTTCCTGAAATGCATATATATGACCAAGAGAATAGGTTAAATAATTGGCCAGTTCTGGCAAGTTAGATGATCTAGACTTTTCCAGAGTGTCATGATCTGTGTTTTAACCAACAGTTAATTTTTAGAATCTATGCATCTTTAAGAACTGGGTGTTTGGTAGGATTGATAGTCCCTGAAATTTAGTCTCTGATGCAAAAAAGCAACCCTAGCTGTCTATGGTTGGGTCATCCGTGCTTTAAATGTAAAGTTTAGGAGGTGCATTTTTGAGGAAGGAGTGTGTGTTCAGTGACCTGTGTTTCAGAAAGCTTTCCTTGGTAATAGCATCATATATGTTATTATATAACAATAATATGAAGTTCTTCCTATACAAACGCTCAGTGATCATTTTGTCCTTAAGAGCATGAGGGGTTGCAAGAAAATTCCACACTTGGATTAGAACTGTTTGTTAAGTCCAGATATGAGGCAAATATTCTTCTCTGTTTACAAAACAGTTTGTTCTGCATTACACATAAGCCATAGTTACAAAGCTTTAGTTGCAATATTTTCTTATATTACTCAAATGTCTTACATGCTGAAATTGAATTACAAGTACAGCTACGTCTAATGTTTATTTTACTGGGTTGCTTTAAAATGTAGCTCTGAAACTGTTAAATATTCTATTTGTTTTTTTTTTTGTTTGTGTTTTTCCAGACTGATCTTGATTATGTTAACAGTGTTGTTGCAAGCCTGGAAAAAGAGTAAGTTGTCATTCATTTTAATGGAGGTTTTCTTAGCTTGTCGGTGGGTTTGCTTTTTGGGTGGGTTTGTTTTTTTTGTTGTTTTTTTTTCCTAAATCTGGTTGTGGTAAGTAATAAAAAGTATTCTGGAAATACGAGATCATGCATTTTTGTTTCTTAGGGGTTTGGATGTTTGAACAAAAACTTAATAGGTGACAGATTAAGGGGCAGTGATTCAGTCAGTTGAACTGTAAAACAATAAATGGGATTGAATTATTTGGTGCAACATCAATAGGTGGGATTGCTTCAACATGCATGGAAATTTGTGGCATCTGTGGCAGGAGGCTATACCAATCTGAAGAAGATGCTAAGGAAAACAACACTTTTTGTATACTTCTATTTTATTTATACTTCTGTTTTACATGCTTTGTTTAAGTCATTGTAACCAGACACAATAACTGTACCAACAGAAAGCAAGCAGAAAGTCTACAGAGCTCAGACTCTTTCATGTAATTTTAGGATGTTTCTATTGACAGGTTTTCTACAGAGATGAATTCTGGCTTGGTGGAAGTAATAGCCCCTCCTGCAACTTACTATCCTGACTTGACGAACTTGAAGGAGACATTTGGAGACTCAAAAGAGAGAGTGAGGTTAGTTTATTCACTCAGATCTATTCCCATCTCCTCCCACACTAGCTTTTGTTGTTTATGAAATGGCAAGTGGGATGTGAATTCTTGAAATATTTTCTTACTGTAATTCTTGAAAGTGTGGGGATGCTAAAAGTGCTCTGTGAATCCATTTCATTCCTATCTGCATGCTGTTCTGCGTGTGATCAGAGCCTAATGCTATGCTTGGTTGAATTCATTTAGTGTTAAATTCTTGGAGGAGAACTGAGACTTTATATAGACTTTTTTGTTTACTGTTTTTCTTGAAATACAGTGTAAACCTCAGTAATTCCAGCTGAATTACCATTTAAAATGCACATTTGTATTTAGTGAAATGTCAGGGAATTTTCACAAAATCACATTCAAGTTAAACCAGTTTTATGTCTGTATTAAAGCATGAGGTGAAAGCTTTGTTCCTTTTATTCAGACAGAGGATTTCCTGAGGGAACAACGCCAAAAGCAACTCCCCTAATATTTCACTAACATGCATCATTCTTTATAGTGACATTCCTAGTGTGTATTGAAATACTTTTTTTTTCATAATTCTTAAGCTTTTAATTTCATTTCAGATGGAGGACGAAACAAAACTTGGATTATTGTTTTCTTATGATGTATGCTCAGAAAAAGGGGGTTTATTACATTCAGGTAAATTTATATTCTTTGTTTTGAGACAAGTTTTCAAATGAGTGTTGAGAAACTATGCTACTGGTCACATCAGGAAAACCCATACAGAACTTGATTCCATAGTTGAAGGAGTGCATTAAATATGGAGGTTATGGTATATGAGAAAGTAATTTGTGGAGGACACTGCCTCTGAAGTAGAAAGTGATTTGTCCTATGTGACTAATTTTTTCTTCAGATGCTTAGTAAAAAAAGCGAGGAATGCAGGCAGCTCCCTAGGCAAAATCCACCTGCACAGTTCTAAATGGAATTTGAGCTAAAATCCAGTTTTACATTCTTTTGAAGGCAAATGCAGCATTAATTTATATAGAATCATAGAATGGTTAGGGTTGGAAAGGACTTTAAGATCATCTAGTTCCAACCCCCCTGCCATGGGCAGGGACACCTTTCACTAGACCAAGGCTCTCTCCAACCTGGCCTTGAACACTGCCAGGAATGGGGCATTTACCACTTCTTTGGGCAACCCATTGCAGTGCTTCACCACCCTTACAGTAAAGAACATCTTCCTTATATCTAACCTAAACTTGCCCTGTGTAAGTTTGAATCCATTACCCCTTGTCCTATCACTACAGTCCCTGTTGAAGAGTCCCTCCCCAGCATCGGTATAGGCCCCCTTCAAATACTGGAAGGCTGCTATGAGGTCTCCACTCAACCTTCTCCAGGCTTAACAGCCCCAATTTTCTCAGCCTACCTTCATATGGAGGTGCTCCAGTCCCCTGATCATCCTCGTGGCCCTCCTCTGGACTTGCTCCAACAGTTCCATGTCCTTTTTGTGTTGAGGACACCAGAACTGTACACAATACTCCAAGTGAGGTCTCACGAGAGCAGAATAGATGGGCAGGATCATATCCTTCAACCTGCTGATCACACTAATGACTGTTGTGTGTAGATATATTTTCAATGTGTTGCTAGACTTGTTTTCTGTATTCCTTTTTAAAGAGGTTTTCAAGAACAGAGTTAAGCAATTTTGCTTTAATTTAGCTCAGAATTGCGCCTAATTATGTGTCGCTGCTTTGAAGTAGAAGCTTTACCTACAGGTATTGCAGATTTAGTGAGTAACTGCAGTTATGATCTTAATTTAGATTTTGGTACTATGTCTCACTAGGGGGAGAGCATGAATACACTGGGAGAAAGGACAGAAGAATCAGGATCCACTGCACTTACTATGAATTAAAGGGCTTGTAGCACCCCATCTTGACAGTTCAACTGCCTGGACTAGATGATTAATTTGGACTATGCACCTATTCTGTTGGACAGCTAAAGCCAGTTGAAATGAATCTCACCTCTGTAGACAATGTCTCTTAGCTTCTTGTCGCAGAGGAGAAATTCTTTCAGTGCTGTCAGGTGCATGAATAAAGAGTGTAATGTTTGTGTACAAATAAAACAGCTGTTCTACTGGTAATGTCACTTAGTCTAGCATTATTTCAGCGATGATTTTTCTCTGATGGGAGAAGCTAGAAAAGCAATGTTCTGAAGTAATAAGTTGGGATACCTTTGTGAATTCTTACTACAGAAAGATAATGGTTCTCCACAAAGAGACAGACTGTGACCCCTACAATAGTTATTCTTGTCTATAGCATCTAGGTTTTATGGCAGTGCTTGCATTAGAAATATATGGCTATGCGTTAGCAATATATTGTAAATCAGAATTTCCTAGCTGTACTTTTTCTTCTTGCTTTTCTGGCTCTTCTTTTTATTTATGTTTATGTCATTGTTACCTTCCTCTAGCTTGAAGATGACATCGTTGTCAAGCAGAATTATTTTAGCACAATAAAAAATTTTGCACTTCAGCTCGCTTCTGAAGATTGGATGATTCTAGAATTTTCTCAGCTGGGTTTCATTGGTAAGAAATTGTTCACTTTTGTTTAAAAGAACACATTCATCCTCAGACTGTGAATTAATAGTGATCTGACTTCAAAGCTATCTTCTTTGTACTGGAAATAGATCAAGAAGTAGAAGAAATTCATTGTTTTTTTTAGGAACTCTGGTTTAAGTCAGGGTTTTGTTTTGTTTTTTTGCTGTATGTTTTTTTTTGTTTCCCCCCTACCACTCAAAGTCCCCCCAAGTTGTTTCATATATGATTGTATGACTGAGTGTACTCATTTGTATGCTTTTGTATGACTCGAACTATTGGAAAAGAGCATTTTTATAACCAAAAGTTAGTTCATTCATAAAAATACAGTTGAACTGCAAGGGATGACTTATATTTTTAATTTAGCTGCTGTGAAACAAAATGTCATTAGAGCACACCTGTCTGAAGTAAAAGAAAAAAGCATGAAAACTATCTCCACCTAAAACAACTTCATTGGCGTCTCTAACAAGATTTCCAAGAATCAGCAGGCATCACTTTGTCTTGGTTGCAAAGCCTGTTCTATCTCCACCTTTCTAATCAATCAAGGAGAAGTTATGACAGTCTGCTCCTTATTAGGTATAGTTAGAGTCTGTCTGTCATTTGCAGTGAATGACAGTGAGAGAAGCTAAGGCAGCATCTCAGGCTTGTGGATTGACTACTAGGATGCTGCTGAAATTACTTTGGTTTTTTGCTCTTACGCTAATGTTTTTATTGAGAGGCACTAGACATAACAGAAATGCCATGAAAGAGAAGTTTTGAAGGGATTTCACTAATCAGAAGGTTATTTAATTACTGCAGTGATGTGTCGTGATCTGTTTAAAGGCACTAAGCTGGAGATAGGTGAGGAAAAATGAAAAGCTAAGTCGAACTGTGGAGATTCCTTATGTAGTCAACACAAACGATTCCAGTGCAAGGGCTCTAAGTTGAGCTTAGAACAGAAAGAAGTTCTGCATGCAACAGATGAAGTGCAGTCCAAGTTCAGTCACTCTCTTGGAAATTCTCTCTCTTGTTTTTACTTTGGATCTACTTTCCAGAGAATGACTTAATCTTTAACTCAGTGACCCATAATGGTAGCACTGAGAACTGTATGAATGGCATGTACTGTCCTTTTTCTAGTTCAGCATCAGGTGTGCTGTTGAGGCAATAGTTCCCTGACTTTCACGGCCTCAGACATTAACTGAGTAGAAAGGAAAACAATAGATATCTCCTAAGGCTGCTATGTTAGGGTACAAACTGGTACTTTGTATATTTCCCTGTCAGTCTAACCTACAGAAACCATGGAGAGAAGAAGAGGAAATGGGCAGAGGGAAGTCTCCTTACTTATCCTGTCACCACATAACCTATCTGCTTAGTTGCCTTGGCCTGTCAACAGATATGCACTGTTGCTGAAATAGTTATGGACTGGTTTTGTGGCCTCAAAGGTGGAAGGGAGAAACAGGGTATGGTATTGCATATCAGGGCAAAATAAGCAGAAGCTTTTGCCCTAAATAGACCTGTCTCCTCTGTTGGGGAGTCCCTTGCAATTTTCTGTGGTTCTGTGGCTACAGAGACTGGTTAAATACCAGCATCTGATTAGGCTTTTTTCCTATTTGAACAGTTAAACTATAAACCCAGCTAAGCCCACAATTTGAGTTTTAGCTCCAGTCCTAATTGCACTTGAAATGTAAATTAAACGTATGAAGTGTTTGGGCTATGGAAGTAAATTACATTCATTCTACATTTGCTTAATTTAGTAGTAGAACATACTCACAAATTGCAGTTTTGTAAGGCTGACATGTCAAAACTTGTGCAAAACCAACTTACGGTTTAGGACATGCATTGTCTAGCTCATGCAGATGTATTTATTATTTGTGTATTTGTGCATTTCACAGCCCTTTCTGTTCTCAGTGCTGCTATAGTAGAGGGCACAGTGCCTAAAGCCAGAAGGAGTAGGTAAATAGTTCTTAATACTGAGATTTGGCTTAATTACCTGCAGAACTATTTAAAAATATTTTTAAAGTTGTTTTTCTGCTCTGTCTATATGCCTTTTTTCAGCAGTTGTAGTTTAAATTTAGTTATTAGCTCCTGCTGCTTGCATCCCTGTTCTTTGTTCCTTGGGTGATATTTGTGTGCCTCCTTTTAATTAGATGATATCAGTAGAATTTCAGATGCATTTAGCTATGGCTACACATCTCAATGTTGCTTTTCTACCTAGAAAATTTAATTAGCTTTTTTCTCTCAGTTTAGCGCCTTATCCTGCTTTTAGGTTTTGAGAGAGAAATTAGTATTCAAGAATGTGACTAAAATTTCTGCCTTGGAGGCACATTGGTGTGCTGTAACCATATACTGCATAGAAATTTTATACAAGTAATGTAGATTTTTCTCATCTCTGCTGTCACTTTATGGATCTTGATGCATACTGGTACTATGGTAGTTTGGTAATGTGGGTAGCTATGGAGAAGAGTAAAAGCATCTATTTGTAACGGGATGGGTTTTGTGTAGATGTCTAAGAGCAAGTAGAGCACTGAATTGTCTAGATGCTAGGGATTTAGAAATAATCTCTAAAAAGAGAGGTGTGGCTGATTCACTGTAAGCTATTGGAAACCTTGATCAGCTTGCAAGTTTGCTAGGTAAAAATCTTTCTTGTCACAGTGTATTTCTGAACTGAGAATCTAATTTATGCAGGTACTACATGAAGAAGTGGCAAATGCAGCTATTTAGGCTGACAGCAGGATTACAGAATTCTGTCACCTCTGCCACAGAGAAGTTGCTTCCTTTGTTTTTTTTTTTAATACTGAAAGTATAGTCTTTAGTGTTGTCAAGTATCTGATAAATAATGGGTGAGATGTATGCCGTTTCCCTTAGAAGCTCTGTGGAAGATGATGCCTCTCTTGCTCTTCTGGGTTGTGGCCCCTGACACAACAAAGTCATACTAGCTTTTTTGTGAGAGATAAGTGATTTGTCTTGCAACTGCCTGGGAGCTGAAGTGTTTTACAGAGGATATGCAGTACTCTGCACTGTAGCTATAATGCCATCTGTCACAAACTTTTAATGGACTGGTCTGAAACTGGCCTTTTGGTTATCTTACACGGTTCCTCTGAATCTTAATGTGCCCTGATGTTTTAAGGCCTGTTCTGATTACAGTTTTGCTCAAGCTGTCCACATAGTTGAAGTTTTGGGAAGAGTAGATCAAATCAAATATTTGAGATTTAAATAACTTCAAAGAAGTTCTGGTTTTAATGCTAGTATTTGCATTTCATTAACAGGGAAAGCATTGAAATACTTAAACCGTAGTTAGAATATGTGCTTGCAGATATAAAACTATTGTTGGTGTAGACTTAATATATTTAATGACATTTATGCAAAAGAATGAGAAGGAATGATTTAGATATTTGCATTTCAGAGAACTGTGGAAAACAAAGTTTTCCGTTTTGTGTCTGTCTCAGGGCCAGAACAGTTCAGTAAGGATAGCATTTAAATGGACTGAAAGTCAGATTGAAGGCTTGGCAGGACACAATAAGTAATAGAAAATGTTCTGCAATACCTTTTTTTTTTAACCAGTCCTGGCTCTCACTTGTATCAGTATAGATAAATAATATTTCTTCCATATTTCATAAATATCTAGAGATTTATGGAGCAAGATTTTACATTTTGAGTCTTAATTCTCTTGGATTTTCAAGTTTCTTTCCAAAGGGTAGGTTGTAGGAACCCAGAATCTGAAACCTCTGAAATTTTGTCATTAAAGTCTCCTGGGTTGTGTCTGTTCTCATGCATTGTACCAAGTCATGAGCATGGTACAAGATGAGCCACTGCTTCAATTCTTTCACATTATGTTTGGTTTGAGGTGGTGCCTGTTGACTTCAGGTTTTACTTAGGTATCCTTGGCTTGATGAATTTCGACTACATTCTGGGGATGACCAGTGGGCAGTCTGTAGCCTGGATTTAGAATGGCATCTTAACGGCTCTGTGGCTCACAGCACCTTCCTCACCTGCAGCTGTGTGTGAGGCCACAGGACTGCAGCACCTTGGCAAATGCTGCTGGTTGTTCTTGGGCTGTGGCGATGTCCTAGGGAAGCCAACCAGCTGCTGGTATCCTCACTCAGGAGAGCCTAGGCAAGGGTTTGGTTGGTTTGGATTCAGACAGGCTGGGGTGTTGATCTGTGGAGTAGGAGTTGTACTTTTCTGTTTCCCATCACAAGGGTTAGCTGTGGACAGTCAGGGGTCCAGAGCTTTGAAGACCTGGTTTTGTTTTTCCAGGGCTTCACTGCAGAGGCCTGGTTTTGAGCAGATGTAGCAAGAGTGTTTTGCGGGAGAAAAGAGGGTGTTGATCCATAGCAGTACTGTGCTGTGCCGGAGGTGTCCTGAAAACGGAAGTGACAGATGAGGGATGCTGTGCAAGGAGCTGGGACAATGCTGTGCCAAGCTGGCCATGGAAGGTGGTGGCAGCATTTCAGCAAGTAGTGTGTGGCTGGCTGTGCTTGGTTACTGAAGGGGGACCAGGGCTTTTCCCAGGAGGAGGGTGTTGCCTGTTCATTTTTGCTCCTGTGATCACCAGGAATTAAAGTGAGAAGGCTTTGCCTGTACTGTCAAACCCTTCCGTGGTGCTGGGCAGTGTAATGTAGAGAGGCCAGCTTGGACTGAAGATACTAATGCAAGTACAGTTGGCTGATGCTGACTTAGTATATTCTGACCAGTTGCAGTTGCATGCATCAGGGTTTGTTTTGGGGGTATGTGTGTGTGTGTGTGTTAATTTTTTTATTTGTTTTGGGTTGTGTTTGTTTTTTTTTCTTATTTTATTTTCCTGGTGCATCTTGTGACATTATTAACCAAATGATTCCCTGAGTCAGGGGTGGTTGCGTGGTTGACAGTAGCATGCATAAAGGGCCTCTCAGCCTAGCCAAGTTTGCCATATGGAAGCAAATACTTTGTTGCTAAACCTGTTTGTATTTTAAGTAAAATTATGATAAATTAGGAAAAAGAGTAAATTCCTACTGTTAGGTTCAGTCTTCTTATTTAATTTTAGGCACAGATCCGGTACATTAACATTCAGGTTTTAAATGACATGGTCTGTGAGTGTCTTTTCACTGTAGATGGCAACTGAAGACTGTAGTCCTTGTGCTCTTTAGAAGATGAGCTAATCAAAGGAAGAAATGTACAGTGTAGTTCTATTGCTCTGTCCTTGGGTATACCAGGAAAAGCATTCCAGAGCATCATGACTGTGTATCCTCCTGGAAGAGGATAAACTCTCTTCTGTCAGTTGCTGTTGAAATTGGAGCAATAATGTGGGGGTGTTTCTGTCTTGAGTTGCATGGTATTTTGCATCTCGTCAACACCACAGGGAAAGGTCCACTTCCTATGGATGCAGCTGGGAATGACAGACTACCTCAGCAGGTGTCATCAAGAAATGATGGTTTCAGTTCTATAAACATCCCAGAAACATCTGATTAGTCCCATTTTTTCAGCTTGTATTTGATTAGGATTCCTTGTATTTTTCTCTTCTCCTGCCCTATGCTACTGAAAGCAGTAGGCAGAGATGAATCACCAGGAAAACTGGAAGCCCATTTAGTTGGAAGTGTGACAATCTGAAGGAGCTGTTATTCTGCATGAATTATTTTAGACAACATTGTACAAATCATGTGATTGTTTCCTACCCATTTAAAAATATTTACTTCCACAAATAATGTTTTAAAAATGATAATACAGTGTGTAAATAGTAACAAATAGTAACAATATGCTAATAAAAAAATCATAACATCTTTCATGTCTTTGAAGAAGAAATCTTTGAAGTTGTCCCTAGTTTAGTAGGAGTTGTCCCTTGTGTAGGGGGAGTTTCAAATTTTAGTTACAGCTTTTCAAGTGGAGATGCTTATTCAAGGGCCTCATTGCAAGAAGCACAAGTAATGTCAATGGTTTTGCTTTATAAATAGCCAGATTAAAGGTTTCTGTAAGGGGCAACTTTGATTAAGCAGTGTCAGGTCAGTTAATGTCTTATCACATTTACTTTGCCAACCCATGGTGTGAATGGTCTGCTTTATGAATATAGCATCACTCCAAGGGATAAAATAATTGGGACTTTTATCAGGTGCTTCATGTCTGTATTTATTGCACTGCATCATGATGTAGCTTTGTGCTTATCTTATCCCTGAATTCCAAAAAAAGCGTTATTTCATTGGCTATGTTCTGATCAAATTTCCTAGTAGTCATAAGAGAATGAGAGTGTATCATACCTGTTTTCTGGAAAGGACCATGCCCTATAGATGGTCTTCTAAGTATGTGTCTACTTTTTGACAAAATGAATGATCTTGCGATTTGAGATCCTGGCATTGGCAAAGCTAATCTCCGTATGTAAGAATCCGATACCTAATAGTGTCAGAGCACACATAACAGGGCCCTGCAAATTTGATGCTGTCCTTTAATCATATCCTTGTTGCTACTATGTGTAAGCTGACAATGGCATTCTGTGTCTACTGATACCTGTTCTAGTACAATGGCATACTGTATCTACTCTGAGATATTGTATATTGTGCCTGGCTCAGTCACCTGCTTCAGTAGAGAAAATTTTGATCCCTGTTACAAGAGGGATTTGAATTCTCATCTTCTTGTTGTGGATTTTGTTTGTTTGGGGTGTTTTTTTTATGCTGCCTTGCATTAATCTTCTATGAATTACAGACTTCAGTGAGCCTTGAAAGAAAGAGAAGTAACTGAATGTCTGGCTCTGAGTGGTATTCCTTGAGTACATTCACAGTGAAAATATAGTTTCCTAATCACTTTAGACTAGATAATTTTTTATTTTTTGTGTAATACTGGCTCATGGTGATACTCAGTTATACCCTCTCTTAGAATCATAAAATCAGGATGGTTTGAGTTGGAAGGAACCTTAAAGCTCTTCCAGTTCCAACCCCCCTGCTGTGGGCAGGGACACCTTGCACTAGACCAGGTTGCTTAAAGCCCCATCCAGCCTGGCCTTGAACACTGCCAGGGATGGGGCAGCAACAGCTTCTCTGGGCAACCTGCGCCAGTGTCTCACCACCCTCATAGTGAAGAATTTCTTCCTACTGTCTAATCTAAATCTATCCTCTTTCAGTTTAAAGCCACTGCCCCTTGTTCTATCACTACATTTCTCTCCTTATATAAATGCAAACATCCTCCTTAATGGCTAAATAAGGTAGGCTGCCTGCACCATTTCTTCATTTCCACTCAGCCATCTGTTCAAGTAGTGCTATATTGCTGATAGTTTTTAACCTTCATACAAAACGTTGTTCCCTATGTGTAATCCACACTAGCCTATATAGCTCCTTAGTGGCTTTTCCAAATTATGTCCTCTTGTAGACAAGAACTAAATCCCATTTTCTGATGAGTGTGGGGAATGTTTTTGCCATCTCAGAGGGCAGCCTGTTCTCAATGTCTTCCCCAGCTGTTCTTTGTAAATATAGAAGAAGATATTAGGGTCTCTACCACTTGTGGAACTTTTTATCTAAAAAGCCTGTGAAGGCCTCAGATTACAAGTGGAAGAAACACAAACCACATTTCACATGCCAAAGTACTGTGTGTTAGTGTGTTGTACAGAGCTCCCAGGTGTGGAGGGACAGGAGACTTGCATTGGAGACTGATCTGGTAGACTCTGATACATTAGTGCCCCCAAGCCCCAAGAGCTCATGCAGAAATCAGCACTCATCACCGTCTGCAGAACTGAATCACTTCATCTGGTGTCTTTGTGAGAGATTCATTGTCATGTGATGTCTTTCTCCCTGCTTTCTCCTTTGTAGCCTAGCAAAGTAGAGGCAGGCTTCATCTGCAAACTTGATAATGTCCTCTGAATCCACCCTCAAATCTAGCACTATCTTTGGGAGTTTAGTTGGTACTCAGTCCCTGATAAAAGCACTTGTCAGTCCGTCTTCAGCCTTGGACTGCCCCAGTCAGAGTTGTGTTGCTTCTGGTAGCAGTGTCTTCATAGAAGACGTCTTTCTTAAGTGTCCACCTTTCTCTTCAGACTCCTGTGCTGGCAGTGAAGTGTATTCCAGGGCCATGTAAATAGTTGCTCCTGTTGATAGTAAATAGAATTTCTTCATCAACAGTAAGTTTCCTTCTTTTGCCAAGGCCTCCTTAAAGCATCACAGTTTGCAGGGATCCCAAGAATCCTGTAGCACAGTGCGACCCAGAAGTCCCCCTAGATTTGACCAAGCAGTATGCTGTCTTGGAAGCCCCAGAGTCATGGCAGTACTTGTCAAAGAAGTTTTGCAGCTTTTGTGGGAGAGGCTTTCTACTAGGCGGCTGACTGTTTTGAGTACAGCTAGTTGGAAATGCCCTCAGTGTAAGTATGCTGATGGCCTATGCCTTTCAGAAAAAAACTTCTGTCTTTATTTTTAAGTTGCATTGTCTCTGGTTAAGGTCTAGCAGCTTCTTTCTTTCCCTTTGATTTTCTGTGCAGAATGATCTGGAGTTAGTGGTAGGTGTTCCATCTCTGCTTTTTTTTTGTACAGGCAAATGCTGAAATTGTGTGACTGAGCAGATAACGCTTGAAACAGCTCCTTGTCTCAGATGCTTGAAGCTTACATGTGACATGGAGAATCATAGACACAAGTCTGTAACTCTTCTTCTTCTATTTTTACAGACTGACAAATTCTTTTCTTAGGGAGACTGTATTGTATACTGAGTATCTTGATAGCACCAAGATATATTACAAAGACTTATTTGAATAGTTGTTTTATTTAGTTTTACATAGTTAAAAGGTATGGAGCTTTAAAAACATTGAGATTTCAAGTTTTTCACTGCTAACATTTCTTGTCTTGGCACAAACTTGTCATCTGTTGTCTTACTGTTTTCAGAAGACAATGTTATCTTTAATCTAAAATAACTCCTGTGTTTTTTAATGTCATCACAGGTAAAATGTTCCAGTCTCCAGATATCACTCTTATTGTTGAGTTCATATTTATGTTTTATAAGGAGAAACCTATTGATTGGCTGCTGGACCATATCCTCTGGGTGAAAGTGTGTAACCCTGAGAAAGACGCTGTAAGTTTGTTTTTATTACAAAGCTTCTAAAATGTTTTCATGATGGTGAGTTGGTTTTGTGAGCTGGAGGCTAGCATACTATGTATTACGGGGGTACTACATGTTCTGAGTCTTTCTTCCTACCAAGATTTTAGTCTCAAAAAGAAATTTAGAGAGTTCTCAGAGGCATTATGACTGTTATTGTTTCAGATTTTGGAGATGGATGCAATAGAATGAAAAGCAAAAGTCTAGTTGTTTTCTGTGCGTAGCATTCCTAAAATAACTCATTCACATAACCCCTCATTCACTGAGGCTCTGCGGAAAGCCATTGCTTAGATAGCAATCATAGAGAAGGTTCTGAATGGGGAGTAAACTTTGAATTTTGGGCCTTCATTTCTCAAGCAGCACCCTTGCTGAAAGACTGACTAAGCAGGTTCTGTGCAAAAACTTTGAATAGTATTGGATTTGCACAGCATTATTGGTAGATTTCTGGAATTAAAGTAAGAGCTACTGGATAAATAGGTCTGGGTTCTTGTTGAGAGTTTTTGGTTCATGTAATGTTACATACTTGCAGTAAGAACTCAGCAACCTTGTGTTGGTTTTACAAATGTGATTTATTCTTTTTTAACCCCCTTCCATTTCCCCTTCTGCCCATCATTTCAGAAACATTGTGATCGACAGAAATCTAACCTGAGGATACGCTTCAGGCCTTCTCTTTTCCAGCATGTTGGCCTCCACTCCTCTCTAGCAGGGAAGATCCAGAAACTAACAGTTAGTACCTAAAGTTTTGCTTCTTTTCTAGGTCAGGTTGATTAAATGAAAATCTTTGTAGCCTTTGAGAAAACAGGCATTTTCTTGTCTGGCACTTTTAAGCATGTTGTACATACTCCAGTTGGAATGAAACCTGATTTCAACTGGTTACAATCAAGTGTAAGAAGTGCTAATCTCAGCTTGGTTTTGTGGATTTTTGCTAGGGGATGTTTTTTGGTTTTTTTTTTTTTTTTTTTTTTTTTGGAGGGGTGGTTTGGTTTTGTTTTTTTTTTGCTTCAATGGCATGTTCATCTTATCAGTAAGATCTGATACACCCAAAAATGAGTAATGCATTCATTTTCTGTTTGACGCAAGGATTTGTTTTAAGTGTAATCACTTGGGGAAAAAAAAAAGTATAATGAAACAGGTTATCTGACCAGCATGATACTTGTCTTTATTTCAATTAGGATAAAGACTTCCTGAAACCATTATTGCATAAAATCCACGTGAATCCACCTGCAGAGGTTTCAACATCTTTAAAAGTCTACCAGGGACACACACTAGAAAAAACCTACGTAGGGGAAGATTTTTTCTGGGCTGTCACACCTGTTGCTGGGGATTATATTCTATTTAAATTTGACAAGCCAGTCAATGTAGAAAGGTAAGTAATTATTTGCCTTTGGTCTCATATCTAAAGCTGCTTGTTTGCCAAGAATGCTTGACGATAGAGCGTTGGGGCTGTCATTATAATCGAAACTGAAATGACACAGGGTCTTTGGAGTTCAGCTGAATCGATGTTCATTAGTGTCTTCCCTCTAATTCTTATGCAATTCAAAACTGGTGCTTCTCTGGAAGTTAAGAGAATTTGAAAGAAGGCAATTTGATTGTATTTGGTGAATCTGCTTCTAATTACAGAGCAATTGTACAGCATGGTATGTGGTACAGTATGTTGTGCCCTGCAGCCTTGGTCCACTTGATTGTCCAGATCGGAAATCTTGCTGGAGCATATCACGATGTCCCCAGACCTGAAAGCTGGGAACTCTGAATGATAATGTTTTTCAGATGTAGCTTTAGGGCTTGAAAACAATCAGCATGCTAAGACTCCAAGCTGACCTATTTGAAAAAATTAAAAATGACAAAAAGAATAAAAGGGACAGGGGGGCCTGCCCTTCACATACAAATATCTGTGATTTGTTAGAGGACTAAAGGTGACTTATTTTTGGATACTACTCAGATGAAATAAGGGTAATAGAGTTTGTGCCTTAGAGTGTAGTCATCCATTAGCTTTATGGAGGCTCATTTGCTGCTTTTCTTTTTACTGTCTTGCCAACATAGTAGTCCAAGACTCAAAATAAATTGTTCATTTAGTGTCTGTTTAGATGTTATGTTTGTGGATTCCTTTCCTACTTTCTTCACATACCTTATGAGACCAGTACCTATAGTCTGGTAGAGCAAAGTTTCTTTGTATCAGTGTCACTGGATGCTTTTCCTTGTGAAGCAGCCATTTTTGCAGTCCTGAGCTGAATCCAATTAGTCAACTTTGGTGCCTTGGTACATAATCAAAGTGTAAGTCTTCACCTTGGCTTAGAGCAGCAGTAAGGAGCATTAGTTTCCTTGTTACTATGTTGTCCATACGAACATCTGACCTATGAAACTCAAGTTTGTAATTTGAGAAGTCAAATTACTGAAGTTCATCGTTAGAGTTTAAAAGACTTTTCTGGTTAGCTTTCCAAGGTGCATGTGTTAAGCAATCTGACTGCCACACCTCCTTGGATTCAAGGCAGAATGTTTTTTTATCCTGTGCCAATAGTTGAAAAAATACGTATTTTTTCAACTCAGATATATGAATTCATTGATTTCTTTTACATCAAATGTTCCCCTTCAAAATTATGAAGTAAATGTCCTATTTGTGTGTTTGCTTTGTTTTTCTGCTTCATTGCTTGGTGGTTGTTATCTGGCTTCTTGGTTATTTTTTTAAAAATTATATGCATCTATGTTATGAATAGTGTAACTTTAAGCAGCAAATGATAATCTTAGGTGGATTAGGATGAGTCAAGTGCACAATGGCAATTTTGAAGAGCACTGCTATCAAGTATCATAGGGCAGCACTGTTATTCAGAAATGGTGTGCACAGGTCTGAAAATAATCTTTTTTGATATGTATTTCCTTAATGGCGAGAGGGTTGAGAGAATGAGTAAGTACTAATTATGTGTGCATAAAGGTGGGAAGAGAGTGTTTGTTATTGTGCCCTGGAAAATTGAATCTAGGCCTAAGGTAGTTGCATCTACCTGCTGTGTAAACAACAGTCCCAGCAGTAGAAGAGGATATGATTTTTTTGTTGTTGTTTTTATTGAATCAATGCATTTTAGTTTTAGAAGAAAAGGAATATCTTGTATTCTGTTGCTTCCCAAAGGAAATCCACCAATAAGAATGATGCTACCTGTTCAGATTTAAGTTTAACACTGTTTGGACTGTCATTGCAAGCACTTTAAGACTTTTGTTGCGATTTTAGTTTCTATTGCCACAGTGTCCTCAAAAATGCCATATTTTGCCTTTTTGAAGTCAGTGGCTGATTAGGGAGGGCTACAGATGGAATTTCAAATTGTTGAGACTTGGTTTTGTTCACCTGCTTAATTGCAGCAGCAGATTTTGGTAGGTGAAGGTCAAGTGGAGCAGTGGTGTTGCCTGATATTTCAAGGGTGCTTGCTGAGGCAGTCAGAAATAAAGCTGTGACCTGTTAGTTGAAACACAGAAAAGGGAAAGTGGACTGAGCATTAGAAAGACTTACTGGTGAGGACATATATCTAACTATGGGAATTAAGAGTAGAAAATACACTATTGAGAGCCATCTTGTGTTTGTGAAGGGATGCAACAGGTGTTTCCTTCTTTAAATAGTAGAGAAGGTCTTGGAATTTATAGAAAATTTTGTCTGCCAGAGTCAGTTTGAGTGTAGCTGCTTAATAACTCCCGTAATAAATTCTGAATAAACAAGTGTTTAATGGGAATACTGACCAAACTCTGACTGAATGGGAGGTCTGTTATGCTATAACAGAGCACTAACTTGTTCCTATAGTTTGTTTTTCCATGCCACATGCTTTGCTGAACTGAATTTAAATTTTCTGCTGAGTATAAGAGTTCAATAATTACCTTTCATTAAGTCCTTAAGTATTTCATTTTTGAGATCTGAAAATATTGTCGGGGTAACACTTGCAAGAATCTCCTAATAGTTTAAAGTGAGAACTGTGCCCATTTGCTGAGTAGAAAAGAACATTTGTGGCTATTTTGTGTAAAGTCTGGTTGGTAGATCCCTGCTGAATATTGAGCAGTCAAATAGATGGTGCTTGTTCTAAACCATACCTGGAGGTATGTGTAAACTGAAATTATCAAATGCTCAGTTTAGTAACAGTTCTCGTACTGAACCTTTGTGGGGTTTTTTAACAAGCAAAACATCTCCAGCCACAACACTGATGTCCCTTAATAGTAAGCTAGGATCTCATTTTTGGAATAAGAACGTATGTACCTCTCAGAAGTATATTCTTGAGAATAAAAGTAGATCCACTGTCTTTCCTCTTAAAACAAATTGCACGGCGCTGTTGAAGGTTGAGGTGTTTGTTTGATGGGGTTTTTGTTTGTTTATTTGTTGGTTTGTTTTTGTTGTTGTTGTTTTTAAAGAAATGAATGGACTCTTTTCTACATGCTCAAAACAGCCTGTATTGTAAAGATAAGAAATAGTGAATTTCTGCTCCCTTAACTTGTTATATAATTATTGAAATCCACTTTGCTATTTTGGTCTGCACACATTTAATTATTAAAACGTACAGTTATATTTGAGAGGTTCTTTATGAAGCATACATTTTTACTACTTTAATGCTAGTACTGAGTGTAACTTCATTTTCCTCACTATAAATAACAGATTCAAGATACTTCTTTTCTTCATTAGTATCTCTATTTTTTTAAAGATGTCAGTGAGTATTGTGCCCTGTCAGTTCATTCTGAAGAGCTTTTGACTTCAGAAGTTGCTTTGAGGGTTTTTTGTATGTAGGGAGCTCTAAAATGTTGGTGAATGAGTAATGAGTCTTGAACAGAGATCAGTAAAGTTTGAATGTGATCCTGGTTTAAAAACAAAAAACCTAAACAAAACCAAACCAAAATAAAAACCAAAACAAAAGAGCACGTCCCTGAATCCCAGAAAGACGTTCCATTGCAGCACTTAAGTGATGCTCGTGTCCATCATCGTCACAGCCATCTCTTTTTTGACTGTCTAAGTTTCAGAGTCCTCTCTATAGATGTGATTGATACAAATCAGTCATGGTTTTCAGAGAAGATGTGCACTAATTACATTAAGGAAGTCTTTGGAAGCACATAACCAGTGGTTGTTTTAATTAGATTATGTTTACACTTGTCAGCTTTTCTGCAAGAGGAATTTAGAAAGGGATTTATCATTTAGAATAGGAATTTATACTTATTATAGGAATTTATAGAAAGGGATTCAGATTTATTTCAGTATAAATTGCTATCAAATACTGATCTGTATTAAATAGGTTTTTAAAAGGTGCAGGAAAAGGTAAGGATGTATTTTGTACTGGAAATAAATCCATCAAAACCTATCTCAGCTTCACGGGGGGGTGTGTATATATATATATATATATATATATATATATATACACACATAAATTTGCTTTATATTTTTAAAATATGTGGCTTATCCTTTCCTGTCTGTAACTGCTTAGTAGTTTTACTTTTAATATTTTCAAAAGGATTGGCAGTTTAGGTTTGGGGAGGGGAATTTGGCTTATGGTTGTGTTTTATTTTGGGTGGGTTTTTTTCTCCTCTCAGTCCCAACGCTGCTGTTAGCTCTGTAGCTGCCTCATAGTTTTGTTCTTCTTTTAGCAACTTATTCTGTAGTCATCCTAATGTGACATTAATAAAGTGATTTTATGAGGTAGAACTTGCTGACTGGAATTTCAGCTTTAAACTGAAATCTTGATACTCTGACAAATCAGCTTGTAGATTACGTTTACTACTTTGTGTTCTGGTACTGGCATAGATACTGAATGTGCAGTATTTCAGATTAATCACTCATTTTTTCGTATTGTTGACCCTGGAATCCCAGGGAACATGTGATGTTAGCTCACACTTATTTCCTGTGGCATCTTCTCACAACATAGAATTACTAATCATGCAAGAAATAAATAATTGACTTAAGCTAGAAAATCAGTGTGTTGAGTGTGAAGAGTATCTTGTTGAGCTCCTGGTAACTAAACATACACATTATTTTGTCTGCTTTGAAATCTCCATGACAATGTTGAAAAATGCTCACCTAAAAAGTGACAGTTGTTTGCCTGTTATTACTGCCACTTCCTTGTAAAGGAAAACAAATGCAGCTTTTGAAACGGGTTCCCTCGCAGTGAAAACTTAAAAGGAATTTAATTTTTTTTTTTTAAGTATAACAAAGTTATCAAAAAAGTATCATAGCAGTTGGTCATATATGTATATAAAATATAGTTAATTATCTGCCTATGGGATGCAAGTCCTCCTGTGGGTAGATACACAAAAGCAAATTGTATTACAAAGCAAAAAAAAAGACTTTCTAGCCGCTTTCCAAAACTGACAGTGACGTGGAACTTTTTCATAATTTGCGTTTGCAGTAATCACCACTTA